CGATTGATACAAGGCGCTTTTATACTTTCTAAGTACATCAGGTAACCATGTTTATCCTATCCCAAGGGAATAGACCCTTCTAGAAAATAGAATCACCCTGCGTATAGCCACGCGAGGCTATTGGCTTTAAGGGATTACGGAAGGATTACGCTAGATATAGCGCGTTAGTACATCCCGAGCCTGGTCGGTGATATAATTATAATAACAGGATAAACCAAGGGTTTATGGAAAAGAAGGAATAGGAATCCAAATGGAATGACAGAAAGACCAAATAAATCAAGATAAAAAGAGAGGAATGAAATGAAAAGGGGAGATGGAAAGGAGAAAGGAATGGAACGGGGTCGTACTCTCACAATTCTGCTGCGGGGAGTCCGGCAAGGTGTACAACTAGGTGATGCCCTCCGCACAACAGAATTGTCCAAGCCGGATGGAGGCGAACTCGCCACCACGATCAGAGTGGAGACGCAGCACAGGGAGATTGCGGTGGATGCGCGCAGCTACGACCCATGAGATGAGAACGTCAGGAATATCGACCTTCCGCCCCAGGGGAAACACCGTGGTATAGCGCGTGTAGTTGCCGACAAGCACTAGAAAGTAGCGGCCCGGGGAAGGGGGCTGGGCTCTTGACGTCCAGGTGCAGGGTCTGTAGTGGTGCGGTGGCAGGGCGAAGCGAGGAGGAGTGAGGAGCACGGCGTAGCCGGCCCTCGATGCAGGGCGTGCACGGCAGAGCAAGCGAGGGAGGGAGGGCAGGGAGCAATGGAGGGAGACCTAGGACGAGATCGTGCTGAGACATGTGACGCAGACGCGGGAGTGCAAGGTGACCTAGGCGGTGGTGCCACAGAACCGACGGGTGAGTGAGCGACCGTATCGAGCAAGCCGCAACGATCTGGGTAGACGCAGGATCCGGGGAGGACGCGCGAACTGGGGGGAAATCAGTGTCCAACGTAAACAGGCTAGTCACCGGGTCCCGGGGGAACGTCGCAAGGGGGGCACCTGAGGCGGCCTCGGTACAGACAGCGTACCGCTCGTGACCAGGGAACGTAGTGGTGACGCCGATGTCTTGAAGACAGCAGATACCAACTAGGTTCCTGGAGAACGAAGAGATGTACAAACCTATAAGTGAACCCGAGGGAACCAATGGACAGGGAAGGGTAGTGTAGTTATGGGCAATGATAGGACCGGAGGAGGGGTCAGCAAGTGCGACAGCGGCAGGTGCTGCAAGCGTCGTGAGTGCGGCGTGGTCGCGGAAGAAGCAGGCAGACGTGCCATAGTCAAGCATAAAGGAGAGCGAAGCGGAAGCTGCGGTAGGTGGAAGAGCGAGTGTAGAGCCTAGATTAAACAAGGCAGAAGGTCCTACGCTTGACGCAGCAGGGGAGTCTGTACTACACACAGGAAACACACCTAAACTAGGCAACACAGGGTAATAAGATCCGGGTACACTAGAAGCATCAGCATGCAGGGAATGCAAGGCAGAAGAAATCTGATCCATGTCTAACTCAAAGACAGGCACACCGTGGCACAGCAGACTGGCCCAGTCAGGGAGGTCCGGCGCCGGGCCGAAGAGGCGACGAAAAAGGTCGTCGAGGCGGCGGAAGCAGCGGGCGGTCGGGTGCGGGCGACGACACACAATACCGCAGAGGGGGCCAGTCTGGAGCTAGTACTGGCAGCCCCCAGCGCCGAAGTTGCCGGCCGTCGCCGAGCTGCGAGGACCGCCAACGCGGCCACCACCACTAGAGGCACTAGGCCACCCTGGCGAGAAGCGGGCCCAAGATTGCTTCTGCTGTGGGTGCTGCTGCTGCTCCTGCTGCTGCGACTACTGCTGCTGCTGCTCCAGGGCACCAGCCCCGGTCCCCTCGTCGGACCCACTATCCCAGTCGCCACCTCCACAATGTTGGCGCGGCTGCACGGAGGCCGCAGCTGCGGTCGCAGCGGTAGGGGCTGTCGTAGCGACAGTGGCAGAAACATCAGCATACGTGCACTGGGAGGGCGCACAACTCTGAAAGATAGGGACTGCCGCAGTACTGCTCGACTGAGGAATAGTGCACCGGCGAGTCTCTATCTCAGACAAAGGCGGTAAGGGTAAGGTCATCTTGGTGCTGACTAAGGAAGTGGTCGCGAGCAGTGGCTAAGCAGTCCGGAAGGCGCATGGCAATGAGGTACAGGTTAGCGCAGAAAGGTGGGGGTAAGGCAGTAAGCTGGGCCTCAGTGCTAGCGGCGCGGTAGCTAGCCTCTAGTGCACGAAAGTGAGTGGCTAGGTCAGCTACAGTGGGTAAGGCAGCAAGATCAGGGAACAACATGGGGAGGATCTGGCGGGCAGCAGAGGCGGAGGCGGGCGTGGAGTAGCGTGCAACTGCTGCATCTAGGAAATCCCTGGCGTTCGCGACAGCAGTGAAGCGCGGATGCTCAGACAGAGGAAGAGCATGGCTAATGGCGAGCTGCGCTACAGCATCGGAGGAATCCCAGACAGCGCGAACGAGCGCAGCTGCAGGAACGACCTCACACTCAGCAGTAATGGGGTAGGCAGGGAGGGGACCAGGTGGGGGGGGGGGCGGGGAAGCAAGCCGTCAACATGCATAGTCAAGGAGTGCCCATCCTGGCGCTGACCTGTCAGGTGATGGCGAAGATCGACAAGCCAGACGACGAAGTCGACCGCGTGCCCCTCCGCGTCCAGGCAAAGTACGGTGTCCGCCATCGTGCAATCTCAGCGTTATAGCTCCATGACGGCACAGCGGCACGGCGGCACAGCGGCACTGCGACACAGCAATACGGCGGCACTGTGAGAGTACGACCCCGTTACACCACTTGTCCCTTTTTCCTTCCTCTTTTCATTTCTCTTTTTGTCCCATCTCATTTGGTTTCCTATTCTCCATTTTTCATTAACCTTTGGTTTATCCTGCTATTATAATTATATCTAGCGTAATCCTGCTGTAATCCCTTAAAGCCAGTAGCCTCGCGTGGCTATACGCAGGGTGATTCTATCTTCTAGAAGGGTCTATTCCCTTAGGATAAGATAAACCTGGTTACCTGATGTACTCTGGAAGTATAAAAACGCCTTGTACTGATCGATAGTGCAATCTTTCCTCGAGTCATTCGATCATGTGACAGGCACAGTGGCGCAGGTACCCTGCAGCATGGCGGCACATCGGCGTGACGGCAGGGCTCTCCGGCGGGAAGACCAGGCAGAAGGCCGAGCAGGGCGCACAGGGCTCGAGGCGCGCAGCAGGCCGGTGAGGCACGATGAGCTGAATGGGCGCAAAGGGCCGGCGGAGCGTTAGGGCCAGATGGGCGCGACAGCAGTAAAGCACGGACACTAAGATGGGGGAAGAGAATAACTTATGGCAAGCAGCGCTACAGCATCGCGCGAATCCTAGACACCGCGAGCAAACGCAGCAGCAGAAAAGGCCTCGCGTTGAGCAGTGGTGGGGTCAGCAGGGAGGGGATTAGGTGCAGAGGGGCGAGGAAGCAAGCCATCGACATGCACAGTCAGGGAGTGCCCATCTTGGCGCTCCCTAACCTGTGAGGTGACGGGGGAGATCGACAAGCCAGGCGACGAAGTTGAGCACGTGCCCCTCCGCGTCCTGGCTTAGTACAGAGTCACAGTGGCCCAGCCATCGTACGACCTCAGCGACCCGACGCCACGGCAGCACGGCGGTACAGCGGCACGATGGCACAGCGATACGGCGACACAGTGGCACGGCGTCACGACAATATGGTGGCACAGAGATTCAGCGGCACGGCGGCATAGCTCCACAGCGGCACGGCTCCACGGCAGAAAGGAAGAGGAACACGAGTGAGGCAAGCGGGGCGCACTGACTGGTGGAGGTACGTAAGGCCGGATAGGGCTCACAGGGCCAGCGGCTCGCAGAAAGGCCAGTGGGGCGCAACGGGCCAACTGGGGTGCAATGGGGCTGGCGGGGCACAAAGGGCCAGCGGAGCGCGATAGGGCCGGCGGGGCGCGGAACGGCCAGTGGGGCGTGAGGGGCTGGTTGGGTGCGAAAGGGCTGGCGGGGTGCAAAACGGCCAGCGGGTCGCGAAACGGCCAGCGGGGCGCGAGGGGCCGGCGGGGCGCGAAAGGGTTGGCGAGGCGCGAAACGGCCAGCGGGGCACGAAATGGCCAGCGGGGCACGAAACGGCCTGCGGGGCGCGAGGGGCCGGTGGGACGCGAAAGGGCCTGGCGGGACGCGAAGGGCTGGCAGGGAGCGAAGGGCCTGGCGGGGCTCGGAGAGCCTGGCGTGGCGCGAAAAGGGAGGAGGGGGGGGGGGCAGCAGGGCGCGAGGGGCCGACGGGGCGCGAAGGGTCTGGCGGGGCACGAAAGGGCCTGGCGAGGCGCGAAAGGGACCAGCGGGGTGCGATGGGCTGGCGGGGCGCCAAGGACAGCGGGTCGCTAAGGACAGCAGGGCGCTAAGGCTAGGGCTAGGGAGGAAGCTGGTGGGCGGACCCAACCTAATTTGATACCATTTCAGAATAGCAGAATGAACTAGAAAGAAGGGTACACGGTAGTTTTGACCTAATGTGTTGTACTCTCTAAGGCATGCCCCTATCTAGGCTATAGCAACATATGCAAATGTGTTTGACAGTATTTTCTCTTGGAGTTTATGCTATTATATATTGATATATTTTCTATTTTCCCTACCAACCAAATATTCACATTTGCATCTTAAAAAATAAATAAAATCACATTTAAATGCATTTTCATAATAAATGTAGTTATGGACCATGGCACACATTGAGCTCAAGTTTCTTCACATCCCCGCATAATTTTATTTTAGGGGAATCCTACGTTTGTTAGGAACTACAGACGGGAGCTGTTTGAGACTCTGTTGTAAAGAGGATCCCGCTTACAGCATCAGCGTATGCCACCCACACTGCAACTCGCTACAAACCTTCCAGAAAATCTCATTTGCCACGTCAGCGACCTCGACCCCGCGAACTAGCAGTGCACCATCGCTTACCCATTTTTCCAGCTCACAACCAGTTACACGCCGCCAAGACTATTCGTCGCTCGTCGCCGGAGTTCGCAAATCGCGACGATCCACATGGCGGGAGGCCGTAAGGCAACTAAATAATCGTCGGCGCGCGAACCGCCTGTCGGCTAGGTTAGGAGTGTTTGGCAGGGAAAACTAACGAGCCTCTAATCAGGTCGAGTTGGACTGATAGATCTGCGATCCAGCTGATCTCACAGTAAAAATTCTCTTTTGAACTCATCTGTGTGAACCGAATTCATCCTTGCCTTGGCTCGACCAGATTCGTCGAATCGCTGATTTCTAATCAGATCGGTTCTCGTTCGCTGACTTTTGAGCTCCTAGCCTTGCGCGGTGTCTTATCCGTAACGGTATCACGTGATCTACTGTACTCCATTTCACATTCGCCCCTGCGCTCCCACTCCACCCTCTTCCCTCCCCCCCCCCCTCCCCCGGCTACTTCCGCCGCCATTTCCCGCCATCCCGCCCGCCGCCCTTCCTGCTGCACCTCAAACGCGCGCTGTCTCTCCCTCTCTCTCCGCCAACCGATCTCCATTGCGATCTTTCGCACCTCGTCGGTCCGCCATGCTTCGGACGATCGGCGGCTCGTCCGCCGTGCTTCGGCGCGGCGTGTCGTCAACCGCCGCTCAATGCGGCGGCTCTAGCGCCGCCTCGCCCATCTCCCCGCTCCTCATTCCCCACTCCTCGTCGCCCGCCCATTCTCCCGTCGCCCTCGCCCTCGCCGCCCTCTCGCGAACACTAGTGTCGCTCCACCCGCCGCCGCCCGCCCCGCAAACCCCGCTTTCACAATCACCGCAAAACCCCTGTCCCGCCCTCATCCCGCCTTCCCAACAGCAGCAGCCGCAGCAGTGCCCGCGTCAACAGCACCACCGGTCACTCCATTCTCCCGCCTCTCCTCCCTCCGCCTTCCGCCTCCCCCTTGCCCCCCTCCTTTCCGCCTCCCGCGCGCCCTTCTCCTCCGCCGCCGATTCCGCCCCCACGGACTCATCTTCCCCCGATCCGCCGCCGCCCGCGTCCGACTCCCCCTCCGCCCCCAACCCGGCGGAAATCCAACCCGCGCCGTCGGAGCGCGTGGGGCGGCTGGTGGACGAGATCCTAGGGCTGTCGTTGCTCGAGATGTCGGAAATGACGGCTGCGATCCGCAAGAGGCTCGGCATGCCCGCGAACGCAGGCATGGGCGGCATGCCCATGGGCATGATGATGATGCCAGGCGGAAGCGGCGGCGGCGGCGGGGAAGCAGCAGCAGCAGCTGCGGAGGAGAAGACGGCGTTCGACGTGAAGCTGGAGGGGTTCGAGGCGGCGGCGAAGCTGAAGGTGATCAAGGAGGTGCGCGGCATCGCGGGGCTGGGGCTGAAGGAGGCCAAGGAGTTCGTCGAGAAGGCGCCCGTCGTCGTCAAGGCCGGCGTCTCCAAGGAGGAGGCCGCCGCCATCGTCGAAAAACTCAAAGCCGTCGGCGCCACCGTGGTCGTTGAGTGAGGCGAGGGGGAGGGAGGGAGGAGATTTGGGGGTGGGGGAAGGGGGGGAGCGACAGAGAGAAGGGGGAGGGATGGGAGGAAGGAAGGGGGAAGAGCCAAGGAGCTGGGGGGCAGGTGAGAGGAGCGTGGCAGAGGGTGGATGGGGGTGTGGAGAGAGGTATGGCTGGTTTGGGAACGGGGGAGAGGCACACTAAAGGGTTGGAGGCAAGGAGGAACGGCGGAGAGGTGCATTGGAAGGCAGGGCGCAGAGGGAGGGGTGAGGGGGAGGAAGGAACACAGTGGAGTGTGTGTGTGTGTGGTTGCCCGCCAGCACAAGGTGCTGAAAATAAGCATTTGTGGAACAAGGGACGCCAATGCGCATGCCTGATGCTGGCTCTGCCTAGGAGCATGTGGCTTCTGTTCTGATACCCAAGCTCCTTCCTCCCATCTTATTCCCCACCTCTCCATTCTCTGACTTCCTTCCTCCATCTTCGCTATGCAACTGCCAGTCGTGCTTGTCTCACTAATCCCCCTCGTGCTCTTGTCAGTATGCTACTAAAGATTCTGGATTTTTCTATGTTTTGATTTTTTCAGCCTCTAATTGTTGGAAATGATAAAAAGACTTGGAGTACCGTGTTCCCCCGGATATAGTACCCTAGTGAGTTGATAAAATTCATGAAAATTCAGGGGTGGGTGGCGTTAATGGCCAAAAAAATATAAGACCATGGTTCTATGGAACGTACATATGCGTTTTTCAGTTCCAAAACAGTTGTGCATGTGACACCACTTTGTTTTGTGTCACATATCAACATACGTGTCCTCATCGCGTACCCTACAGTGTGGCCCTTCTGCTTGCCACATCGTCTGTTAAATTATATTATACATATATAATTATAGGCTTGGTAGGTGTTATTGGATCCTACTGTAGAGAGTACAACCCCCCTTCTTGTATCCCTCTCTCTTCTAGTCCAACCTCTCTTCTCTCTCGTCAAATTGTGAAAGCTTGCTTGGGTCATCTTGGCAGAGGCAGCGTGCTTCATTTCATATGGGATTGCGTACATGGTTCTCGTCCAATAGACTACACCTACAAATAGGGTGGGTGGGTGGGGAAAACGAAACTGGAACTAGAAATGAAGAACGTGGGTGATATCGAATGGCCTCACGTCCCTCTTTTGTAGGCAAAAGAGGCAAAAGAGGGTGAGTAGCGCTTCGACGCTGTCCTTGCTGCGTTGGCCCTTGCTACACTTTCACAATACACATTTTTTATAAAGCGTTACACGCTTTCAAAAAATTACATTTCTCTCCCACCTAAAACCTCACGCCATTTCTATGGCTTCCCTAGCTACCTAGCTACTTCGACATGGTTTCAGAGCAGGTCCGTCTGCTCAGGCCTGCTCATCACGCTTCTGCAAAGTCCGCTCCTCCCTCCCGTCCTTTTCCGCGCCGTCGCCACGACCATGTCTTGCTGCCGTGGCGGCGTCTACGCGCCAGCACGCGGACGGCACGGACGGCAGCGGCCAGCGCCCGGTCTTAGTGCTGGCAAGCACGCCACACGGGGCGGCACGCTCCCGGGCTCCGCTGCTGAAGCCCCGCCCCCATCCCCTACGTCCCCTCTTCCTCGCCGCAGCCGACGGCTGAATCGCGCCGTCCGTCCCATTGTCACGGAGCTCGGCCACGCCGCCGAGTGCTGCGAGCTCCGTCGCCGCCGAGTGCTGCGAGCTCCGTCGCCGCCGCAGCTGTCGTCGAAGTCGCCGCCGCCGCAGCTGTTGTCGAAGCCGCCGCTGCCGCAGCTGGTGCCGCTGGCCACGCCGCCGCACGCCGCCGCTGTCGACGCTGCCGCCGTCGCCGCCGTTGCAGCCGCTGCCTTCGCTGTCAACATCGCCGCCTCACATGCCGAGGGGTTGACCATACTGGAGTAGCCGTCGCTGCTGCTGAGTATGGGGGTGCTAGGCTTAGGGGGTGTGTGGCTTAGTGTGCTGTGTGTGCGGTGTACTTTCGGCTACCAAGCCTAGGGGGTGTATTAAATTATATATTATATATAAATAATTATAGGCTTGGTACTGTAGGTGTTACTGGATCCTACTGTAGAGGGTACAACCCCCCTTCTTGTATCCCTCTCTCTTCTAGTCCACCTCTCTTCTCTCTCATCAATTCTCTCCCACCTAAAACCTCACGCCATTTCTATGGCTTCCCTAGCTACCTAGCTACTTCGACAATCGTCAGCTATTCCAGTAGAGTCAAGACGAAGATGATAAAGCAGCCAATCAACGAGTGCTGCAGGCCTCGTCCGTGCTACCTCCAATCAGTGGGCGGCAACGGAGGTTTGTTTTGGCAGGAGGGCGCGAGAGTCGAGAATGAACAATTTGGATTTCGACGTTTTTTTTCTGTTCTGACAGATTCGGGTTGACCACCAGCTCGTTTTCCCCACTCGCCCTCACGTTTACGTACGACACATTCTGTTGTTCCCTGTCAAAATAAGGATTCTAGGTGGCCGGGGGTGTTCAATTGTTTTCAAGCCCGAAAGTAGGGTGGTAAGTATATCCAGTTTAACCCATACCCGCTCAAACCACCCATGGGAGCTTAATTCCGGCGGGTACTGTATCCGAGGGAATACGGTATCGCGTGCTGTAACTGTTGCAAGGAGCTAAGAAGCTAGCTAGGCATGAGAATGGCGAGAGGTTTTAGCTAGGGAGAAAAGTGATGAGAGAAAAGAGGGTTGGACAAGTAGAGAGAGGGATACAAGAAGTTTATTGCACCCTATACAATAGGATCCATTGTAGGACACCTAACACCTACCAAGCCTATACAAATATATATAAATAATATATAAGTTGACACACCCCCTTAGGCTTGGTAGGCGCAAGCACACCACACACGCAACACCCCCAAGCCCTTGCACCCCCATGTCCTGCAGCAGGTGTGGCTTCTACCCCTCGTGCGAAGCGGCGACATCGACGGTGGGTGGCAGCAACGACATCAGCGGCGGCTTCTACGATGACGACAGCGGCGGCGGCGGTGGCAGGTGGCGGCGGAGCAAGCGGCACCTGCAGTGGCGGCGGCGGCTTCGACGACGGCGGTGGCGACTGCGAAGCTCGCGGCACCCGGCAGCGTGGCACGGCCGGGCGACGACCGGGAAGGGAGCCATCAGCTGTGGCTGGGATGAGGGGAGACGCAGGGGAGGGGGCGTGTCTTCAGCAAGGCGTCATGGCTGGCGCGGCACATGCTGGCATGCGGGCGTGCTGGCTGGCGTCTAAACCAGCGCGCTGGCCGCAACCGTCCGTGCGCTGGCGCATCGAAGCCGCCGCGGCAGCATGACGAGGCCGCCGCGGCAGCGCGGTGAGGCCGCCACGGCTGCTCGACGAGGTCGCCATGCATCAAGGCCGTCGTGGCAGCAGGACTTGGCGGCCACGGCAGCGCGTCGAAGTCGCCGCGGCAGCGCGGCGAGGCCGCCACGGCTGCTCAACGAGGTCGCCGCGGCCGCGCGGCGAGGCTGCCGCGGGAGCACATGGAGGCCGTCACAGCGGCGCGAAAGTGAAAGGAGAGGAGAGAGTACGCGGCGGAAGCGTGAATAGGAGGCTCAACAGGATCTTTCTGCTCTGAGAATGAGAATGAGAATGAGAAGCTAAGAAGCTAGCTAGGCATGAGAATGGCGAGAGGTTTTAGCTAGGGAGAAGAGTGATGAGAGAAAAGAGGGTTCGACAAGAAGAGAGAGGGATACAAGAAGGGTATTGTACCCTCTACAGTAGGATCCATTGTAGGACACCTAATACCTACCAAGCCTATACAAATATACAGTATATAAATGACATATAAGTTGACAGTAACAATACGCGAAGACCACAACACCGAGGACTGACGAGTCAAACCCTACTACAGTACTTCCGACGGTTGACGCATGTTGATGACACCTTGCAAAGGTTACAAAAGAGGAACGGTCACAGAACGTTGACCATGCAACCCAACAGTCGGAAGTACAAGAGTCAGCGCAACAGCAAGGACAAATAACCGTCCTTGTATTACTCCCAGAATAACGCATTAGTTAGGATGGAGGGTACAGGGTGACTTTGTGCTAGTGAGTTGTACTCTCTGAGAGCATGCACCTATCTAGCCTATAATAATATATGCATATATGTTAGACAATTACATGTCAGCCGCCAGCGGCAGCTGGCCGCCAGCGGCAGCTGGCCGCCAGCCCTAATCGGCCGCCAGTTGCCAGTCGGCCGCCAGCCGCTAGTCGTCAGTCGGCCGCTAGACTCGTGAGTCCCCTGTGCCCTGTGGACTGTCATTCGTCTTGTGCCGCCGGTCCTAGTGCCTTTTAGCTAGCTCCTCGGCATGCTGCTCCTATTAGCTCCTCTCACGCGTACTTCCTCCTCGTTTGCACCCTACTCCTCCTAGCCGCTCCTAGCCTCCCACCACCCGCTCACAAGCCGCTGTCCACCCAATCCCAGCTTGCTGCCTCTTGCTACCAGCCCGCCGCCAGCTAGCCGCCATAGCCGTCTTACTGTCACTAGTCTCCCCCTCGTTTCTAGAATTCCTCGACGCCTCTCCTCTTGGCATGATGGCCTCGTTATTGTCCATCTTGCGGCCAGACAGCCAGGAACTTCCCTCCGCTCTGCGGTTTCTCGCTTACCGTCTATAGCTCGTGAGCCCGCGCCTAGACTGCATGCTCCTAGAGGATCACATTAGTTCCCTCCTTGACTTCAAGCTCCACGACTTTGACGTCTGCTTCCGGGCTCTTTGGCCAGCGTCGCAGCTGCAGCAGCAGCCGCATGAGCAACGGCAGCAGCAGCCGCAGCAGCTGCCGTGCGGTCTTGGGGGTGTTGGGTGTGGTGGAGGCTCTAGAGGTGAGGCCTCTTCATATTCTCTTGTATTATTACAGTATATAAACCTTGTATCCCTTTGCTATAATCAATCACTTGTTCTCACATACCAGTACAATGTCAAACATATTTGTGTATGTTTAGTGGACTATATAGGGTCGTGCCATAGAGAGTACAACCCACTAGCTATATACCCCTGTATACTCTCATTCTATTCAACAATTCTAAGTCTGAGATGGTATCATGAGTAGTTTAGATCCCCCCAGCCCACCCGCGCTTCCGCCTTAGGTCCTAGCCTGCCCCGTTGCCTAGCGCCTAGCCGCCCCATTGGTCCTGCTGCCCCGTTGCCTAGCTGGCCCGTCAGCCCTGTCTCCTAGCGCCTGCTGGCCCCGCGGCCCCGTTCCCTAGCGCCTAGCCGCCCCGCTGGCCCCGCGGCCCCGTCACCTAGCGCCTAGCCGCCCGTGGCCCCGTTGCTCCGCCACCTAGCGCCCCGCCGCCCCGCTGGCCCCGCGGCCCCGTCACCTAGCGCCTAGCCGCCATTGGCCCCGTTGGCCCGCCACCTAGCCCCTAGCCGCCCCGCTGGCCCCGCGGCCCCGTCACCTACACCTAGCCGCCCTGACGCCCCGTCGCCTAGTCGTCCCATGGCCTAGCCGCCCCGTCGCCTAGCAGCCCCGTCGCCTAGCCGCCCCGTGGCCCCGTGGCCCAGCCGCCCTGTGGCCTCGTCGTCCAGCCGCCCCGCTGCTCCACGGCCCCGTCGCCCAGCCACACCGCGGCCTCGTCGCTCCGCTGCTCCGCGGCCCCGTCGCGCAGCC